GAAGTTAGTCTAGAGACCAGGAAGTCCATTATAGATCTCCTATTCATCAGTATATCAACTTAGCAGATAATAAAGAAACTACCTCTACCAATCATTGGGATATTCTTTTAAATAATACTAGTATTAGAGGAGCCTTGGCAAATTACCTGCAAGGTAATTCCAATATTGTAAATCTGGTATACTCTAATAGTCCATAAACTATTCCTGTAAAATGTCAAACAACCATTCATAATAAACTATTTACGGCTATTATTGATAGTGGAGCTGCTATTAGTATGATTACCTAACAAGCTGCCAAAGAAATTGGATTGAAAATAGACACACCTTCTAATAGTTTAATTTTATCTGCACTTGGAAAACAAGTTAGACCTCTAGGTGTTATTAAGGATATTCCTGTAAAAATTGCAGGAATTACTATTCCTATCTCCATAGAAGTTGTACTAGCAACTATATCAAGTATAACCCAAACTATGACTTGTAAACCAGAGTTAAACATTATACTGAGTCTAACAAAAGTGCTGGAAGTTATTATAATATGAACCAAGATAGTATTTACTAGTTAGCCCAAACCTCACTTGGTATCACACCTCAGAGTATTGCTCAAGCAGAAGTGGAACAAGAAACAGATAGGTTTAATAGAGAGTTTACAAATGAGGAATTAACTTTGCTCTTCTGTGTTGGTAAAATACAATTAACTACTGATGAAGAACAACAACTAAACCAAATTTTAGCTGAGTCTTTTAATCTATTGAATGCTGATTTTGACTATCAACAAGCTATTGCTAACTTGCATGCTAATTTTAGAGGCAAAGTAGCTTTGTGTTTAGATTGTTTGTTTGCTAAACATATTTCTGAACTAGAATCCAATCAAGGTCTTTGTAACGAATACTATTAGGAGCAAACAAAGCTATCTACTAGTTTACAAAAAGAAAAAGAACCAGAACAAGAGTCTAAACCACAAGATATTATAAATCAGCAAGCACAACAAATTTTACAACTTCAAAAAGAAAATGAATGGTTAAGCTAGTTACTCTTCTCCTTGTATTAGGACTATATAAAATTAACCCAATAGCAAGAAAAAAGAAATAGACAACAAAACCAATTCTGGATGCAATACTTTGCCCAACCTGCATTTGCAGAAGAAACAGAATTTCAGAAAGAAAAATTAAATTCTCAGGAAGTCTATACTATTGGACAATTAGAACTAGAAGAGGAGCACTTATTAACTTCAGAAGATCATGTAGAAACAGGTCAACTTACAACTGAACAAGGCAGACAATTTAAGAAATTATTAGATGAATTTGCAGATTTATTTGCCAAGGATATCAATGAACTAGGAAGAACTGATGTTGTAAAGTATCGAATTTATACTGAAGATGTGCTTCCAATAAAGTCTAGGCCTTACTCTGCTTCTCTAGATGAACAAGCATTTATCAAAAAAAATTTAAAAGGATGCTAAAAAATAAGTTGATTTGGTATTCTAAAAGCTCTTGGACTTCACCTGTGGTTCTTGTCAAGAAAAAGAATAGGAAATTATGGTTTTGTGTAGACTATAGAAAACTTAATAATATTACTAAAAAAGATGCTTATCCCTTTCCTCATATTAATGAAATGCTCAATGCTTTGTCAGGAGCTAAGTGGTTTTCTACCCTAGATCTTGCTAGTGGGTACTGGCAAGTAGAAATAGACTTTAGAGATAAGGAAAAGACTACATTTATAACTCGTTATGGCACTTACGAGTTTAATATTATGCTATTTGGTCTTTGCAATACACCTGCTACATTTCAAAGACTTATGAATCATGTTTACCAGGATATCAATTAGAAGTTTGTAGTTGTGTACTTGGATGATACTAATATCTTCTCATGAACTTTTGAGAAATATTTGAACCACTTTTGAATTG